CAAACAAAATTGATGTCATTGCGATTACGGAGACTTGGTTTAAATATTATTGAATTATAAATATTGACTATGACCTTTATCATTTAAACAGAGATAGAAGTGGATTTGGAGTTGCCATTTACAAACTTAACAAATGTAGAAAATCTAAATCCTCATCTTAAAAATAAAGAGATTGAACAAATCTGGTGCTTAATAAAATGTGATAATTTTCATTTTATCATTGGTTGTATTTATTGACCGCCAAACTCTACACCCAATTACTCAAAATCAATCCTACACTCAATTAAAACTGCTTCACAGCTCAAAAGTGAAAATAATTACACTGATCTGATATTGGTAGGTGATTTGAATTTTCCTGGTTGATGTATAACTTCTTCCCATTGGACTATTGATGATCCTATAATTCTTTCAAATGTCATCTGAGCATGAATTCATTAAAGTTTTAGATGACTGTTCTTTATCCCAGATAATAGACTTTCCAACATTCAAACAAAACGTTTCTGCGGTAGCAGTCAACACTCTTGACCTGGTTTTCGTTTGCAATCTGAATTGCATTGACTTTCTCCAATGTGGTCCACATTTAGGTCATTATGAAAAGGGAAGATACCATTACTCCATCACTTGGAAGTAGTTTAATAATTTTAGTGAAAATATAATTTTTAAAAGAGATAAGTTTTACTTTAATTATAAAGATTTCCTATTGGCGAAATCAAGAAACTCAAAAAGCACTCAACAAAATATGTGCTAATTTTAAAAAACAGATCAAAACATCAACTCGAGAGTATGAAATGGATTTAGTAAAGAGAGCAAAGCTTGCACCAAAACTTTTATTCTCAAATGTAAACAGAAAACAAACCCCATATATGATCCCTATAACTGGTAAAATATATAACTGGATTGGAAGTTTCCTTAAAAATAGGAAACAAAGAGTCATTATTGGTAACTCAGTTTCAGAAAAACTGAGAATTCTGTACACGACTTGTGTATGTTAAAACATACACAATGAATATAAATGGCATGATTCATGACCTCTCAGACACTGCTTTAGAGAGAGATCTGGAGATTTTTGTACAAACAGATATGAAGTGGAAACATCAAACACAAGAGTGTTTAAACAAAGCTTTAAAAATACTGGGGTTGTTAAAAAATACTTTTGAAAGTAAAGATTCTAAAATTTGGAAAATTCTGTACACAACCTATGTGCAACCTCATCATGAATTTGCGGCTCCAGCATGGAATCCACCAAATCTAGCAGAAATTTCTATGCTTGAAAGAGTTCAACACAAAACCACCAAAGTACTCAACTCTCTAGACAATTCTAGCAGTTCTAGAAAACTCTCGAAGAATGCTGAGCATTCTTCGAGAGTTTTCTCAGAATGAAGAATGCTGAGCATTCTTCAAGAGTTTTCTCAGAATGAAGAATGCTGAGCATTCTTCAAGAGTTTTCTAGAACTGCTAGAATTGTCTAGAGAATTGTCCAGGATTTTCTAGAACTGCTAGGATTGTCTAGAGAGTCTAGAATCTCGAAGGTAAGTTGAATAACTTTTCCTCAGATCTGATTTATATTTTAAAATTTTAATGATTCAGATGTATGCAGTTCAATTTAAAAAGTAACAACTAACCAATTTTCTATATATATTGATGTATTATATAAAATGTTATATGTTAATATTATACCCTGTATTAAATGATGTGATACCAAAAAAAAAAAGGAACAAGACTCCCAAAAAGATTTACAGTCCACATTGAGTTAGTTGAAAAATATAATATTAATTTATGTAGATTGCTATTTGCGGGGGCTTATAAAATAAATGTGTTAGATTTGGGGAGACAGTACCTATGTTATAGACATTGACTATAGAAAAAAATATTTTAGTTAAAATATATCATTTTAAATCTTGCTGATAACTTGCACATTAGAAATCCTTATTTTCTCTAATAGAGGTACTAAGTAAATTTTAAAAACCTTTTAGAAACCTCTTTTTTCTCTAACTATTGAAGGTACTAAATACTCAAGTGATAAAAAACTGTTAGTAACTGTTCTTATAAAGTAAACTTTTCCATATATCCTAATTTATTTTTTAATTAAAGCCCCTGTATATAGATAGTTCAGCATGTTTTTATCAATAACATTTTATGCTAAGTAAGCAAATTTCATTTTCATTACTTAATAATAAATTTACAAGCATATTTTAAGCAACAACCTTGTTTTCGAGTTGTTATATGTGGACTTAAAACACCATCAGGATAATTTTTCACCATTAAATATATTACTCCATCTTCTTCAGATGTGCTATCATCAACAATCAAAGATGGGATAACAGCAGTGTAACTGCGACGGACTTCTACACCTTTAAAAAAAATATATTTGTGTTCTAAAGAATGAACAAGCAAACATTAACAAGATATTTTGTTTACAAAATTTAAAAAAAAAAAAATTTTTCTAATATAAAAAACAACTATTTTGTGTTATTGCTACTTTTATAAAACAGTAAAGTAACAATATCTACCAAAAAAATAATAGCTAAAAAGTTTTTAAGATAATTAGAGTTAAAAAAAAATAATTATAAGGAATATTTATAACATCTTTATGTATCTATATATTTAATATAGACACATATTTATATAGATATATACAGATATAATTTTTAAACTTATTATGTCAACTAAAAAGGTACAAAACAATTTCAACATTTATTGTAAACAATCTAATGTGTATAACAATACTACATATAAACAATCTAATGTGTATAACAATAATACATATAACAAATTTATAAAATAAAATAAAAAATGACTTAAATAAAATTTAAGTTTAAAAATTTTTTGGTAACTTTTTATTATTATCAACTAAAAAAAAATTATTATTATTATAATTGTTATTATTACAAATACTCATTAAAAATCATTTCAAAAATATGCTTATTAACATGTTTATATATTTCAAAAAATTAATATTTAATTATTTTAAGTATTTTCATGTGTTTTAAATTATTAAATGAATTCAAAAATTAATTCAGTTTTTAAAGTGTTTTGTAATTAAAAGAATTTTAATTTAAAAAATCACTAATATTTAATTAATTTTATTGAATAATTAGAAATCCTAAAAAATTAATTATAATTACTACTGGAATATGATAATTAATCAAGATGTAACTACTTTTATTGATCTAGATATTACTGGCTACTATAATTAACAACTTCTTATATACCACAATTTAGTCATAAAAAATCTCTAAAGCCTGGAAAAATCTGAAAATTAATAAAATACCTTCAATATTTTCTTTTAGAATAACATGATGACCTATAGCACATTGATAAAGCACATTATCTGGAAGTTTAAGTTTAATCAGTTTTGTGTTATGAGTAACTTTTTCTATGGAAATAATAGGACAGTTTCGAAACTTTAATTCTAAATAAAAATATGTTTAATTCGTTAAATTAAAAAAAAAAGGAAAAAAAGCTGTTAGAGTATAAAAATTACTTAAATAACATTGAAAACATTGGTCAAAAATTACCTTTTTCATTTATATTTTTAAGTGAATTATGGCCAGCATTTTCAAGACCAATCTTCACCCATGTTATATTTGGTTCCTTCTTAGTAAGTACAATTTCAATTTTACTTGTTGATACAGACTTTACTTGTAAAAAATAAAATAATTTATTGTTTATTAATTTAGTGGAATGAATAGCGAAAAAATGTCAACAAACAAAAGAACACCAAAGGTTTTAAAGGGTTAACTAATTTATGCAACAATTAAAGAAAAAAAAAAAATTCACACAACTTGCTTAAATAAAGAAACCTCTATAAAGTTTATATAAGATTATAAGTCTACAGATTTTTTTTTCTTCAAATACTTGTGGTTGTATTTAAATTATAAAATATAAATGACCTAACAACATAAAATAAATATACATACATACATACATACATACATTCATACATACATACATACATACATACATACATACATACATACATACATACATAAATACATACATACATACATAGATTAAGTAAATCATGTTAAATGACTCTAACCAATTAAAATAATTTACCGGTTCTTTTGTTATATTTGACATTTAATAAGTGATTTTTAATAATTCTTTTTGTATATATTGGAAGTTTGTTATTAATTTTATGTCTTTTATAATGTTTATTTTTACACACACACACAAACACATATATATGTATGCATATTTATGAACTTAAAATAATATAAAATTGTACTTACAAACACAAAAAGTGATTTGTCTTTCCAATCCTTCCATAAGTTATAAGAGTAGAAATAAAATTATAATAAGTTAAATACATAAAGATATAAAACAAATAGTCTACAGAAAAAAAATAAAAAAATAAAACAAAACTGCTATAAATATAAACTATATTTATATTTATAGCAGTTTTGTATATACTGAAAAAAGATTTTTCAATTTTATTTTTTAAGTTGTAGAGAAATTGAGCTGTATTTGAATATACACAAATTGAATAAATTTTTTTTTGTTTTGATAAAAACTTTAACTGTAAGTAAAATATCATTTTACCCTAACATTTAGGGAGAATGAAGTATGCAAGTCTATGGATAAGTAAAAGAACACTTAATTAAAAAATACAAAAATGATAAAAATTGGAAAAACAATCAATGATAACAATTAAGTAAAAAAATGGAAAATTTTTTTGCAGCGGTTTTAATGCAAGAAAAAAAACTTAGTAGATTACTGAAAACTTAATGATTTATCACAAAAAATTATTTATTTCTTATTAAAATTTTATATCACTTTATTCAGAATAAGATTTGTTACAATATGATAAAATTATTTGTAAATTGTTTAACAGTTATTCAAGAGCAAAATTGTCATAATTATTTCATTTGTTTAACTCTATAAATAAATAAAAAATTACTTAAAGAAAAATGATAAAACTTGTCTTTTAATAAAACTTTAACATCTAAATTTTTGCAATCACTGCAATCAACAATAACATCACTTCTTTCAATATCCTAAAATAATAAAAACAAAAAAATTCATGAGTAAATATGTATGTATATGTATGTATGAGTGTGTGTATATAAAGTTTTTCTAATTTATAGAATATATATATATATATATATATATATATATATATATATATATATATATATATATATATATATATATATATATATATATATATATATAGGGGAAAGTCGGGTAGCCCCGAACAACGGGTAACTCTGGACACTTGATGTACAGCTTAAACTAAAGAAGCTTCTGACTTTTAATACTAAAATAATATTACTTGAGTGAAAATATGGCATATGCAAAATATTTATCATAAAATGCCGAAGCAAATGACTGGAGGGCAAGATTTTGTTTCCCACCACCAGAAGAGCGACGTATCATCATATTTAATTCACATATAATTATACCTAAATTTAATGTAAACTAATAACTATACTAATAACTATTTTATTTTAATAACATTTTTGTAGTTATTTAAAAAAAAATTCCTTAAAAAGTTTAATTTACTGGTTTTAAAACTAGTATTTGTGAATGAGGTGTGATCTGGTGGTATCGGACACATGTTTGGAGGGTGGCACCGGACAATTTAATTTGTTTACATATAAATAATAAAAAACTTTATATATATATATATATATATATATATATATATATATATATATATATATATATATATATATATATATATATATATATATATATATATATATATATATATATATATATATATATATATTAATACATTTAATATAATGCACAAACCTATAACAGTAATTCTTTTAATTCCAATAAAAAAAACATTATATTTGAAAAAAGTGTTTTTAAAGTGTTTATTTTCAATATAAAAAAGCTTTTGTTTATATTTTTAAATGATGACTTTTCATTCTTATTCCTTATATATCAGAGGCAAGTTTTATAGGGGATTTTTTTAAAAATGTGTTGACAACAGTTCAATGCTAAATTATTATATATTACATTTGTGTCACACTGGTAAAAAAGAGGTAAAATCATGGTTAAACTATGTGTCCGGGGCTACCCTCCAATTTTGAAACATGCCTTTTTTCTAACATTTTTTCTTTTATGTTTTGTATATTATTAAGATACACAATAATTATTTTTTTATTTCTAATTTGATAGATGAATGTTTGAACTTTTAAAAAAAGTCTTTTGATACTTTTTTTTCTGTTAGCACAACACAAGTTTTTCTAATTTATAGAAGTCAAAAAAGTAATCCAGTCACCTTCAGTCAACTGTTATAAAAGTTTTTTTTTTAAATTTAATCTTGCTTTTGTTTATGTCTGGAAAATGGTATAAAACCCCTGTAGCCCAATCGGACTCTTAATTTAAATCGGAAAAGTTAAATCGGACTCCTAATTAGCATTAAATAGCATTAAACTCTTTAAATCTTTAATTAAGAAATATTATCTCATTGAATCTCTGAAAATCAATGTTTTAATCCTCTTATTTTAATGTTGATTTATTACCCTTATAACAGAAAAGTTCTATCAAGCATTAAATGGAGGTAGTAAGGCAAGGGTTATTGTTCTTTATGTTTAAAATGTTTTCAATAGTCTGGCATGCTTGTCTTTTTCATAAGCTGTCTTTATCTGGCCTGGCTTTTATACCTGAGAAAGATTTGATTTTGGTATACCTGAAAAAGATATGAAAATTAGTGAACCATTATTTTAACTTTGTATTAAAACTGTTCATGATGGGCAACACTATTCTTTAATTTTAATAACTTCTGTGGTACCACAAAGTCCCATCCATTTTTTTTGTACCACAAATTTCCATCCTTGATATTGGATTTTTCATCTGTATTAATGGTCTTCTTGTTAACATTTTATTTAAAGTAAATTTGAATTTGCTGACATACATAATATACAATAACAAATACTATATATATATATTTATATATATATAATATATATATATATATATATATATATATATATATATATATATATATATATATATATATATATTTAAATGAAAGAAAAACGACTTTTTTATGGGACTTCAAGTTTCATGCCATTCGGCAATCATTCAGCCATATATTTAAAAATCATTAAAATAAAAACCGTTATAAAAATACAAAATTGCGTTGCAATTGCGAATGGCATGAAACTTGAAGTCCCATAAAAAAGTCTTTTTTTTTTCATTTAAATATTTAATATATTTTGATCTATTTTATAAATATCGATCACTCTTAAACCGACAAAGAGCTGTATTAAATCCAACAGAATACAACACAACTCAATAATAATAATAATAATAATAATAATAATAATAATAATATATATATATATATATATATATATATATATATATATATATATATATATATATATATATATATATATATATATATATATATATATATATATATATATATATATACATATATATATATATATATATATATATATAAATATATAAATATAAAACTATTGTTGCCAAAACCTTTTCTTCATCTTCATCTATTATTTTGCAGCTACTTTAAGGAAAGTAATTTTTTAATTTTTATTTTAAAACCTTAAAAGAAAAACAACTTATTTAAGCCTTCATTTAAAAACTTCAAACGAGAAATAAATAATTCAAGCCTTCATTTAAAAACCTCAAAAGAGAAACAAATAATTCAAGCCTTTATTTAAAAACCTTAAAAGGAAAACAACTATTTCGAGCCTTTATTTGCTGCCAAACATAATATTAAATTAGCTGTTTAGTTCAAAAAACACTGATAAAACAAAAAATGTGACGCAGGGAAGAAATAAGAAACGTGACACAGGGAAGAAATAAAAAACGCTGAACAAAGTTATTAAAAATCTCTAGTTTTTCATTTCTCAAACTACAAATACTATGAATTGATAAAGTTATTAAAAAATGTAATAAATTTATATTCACAACTTTAACTAAAACAGTATTTATATAAAAGATCCTACACTCTAAAAATGAGGGTGTTAAAATCATAACAGAGTAAGTCCGTAACTCATTGGGTAACAGAATAGTCCGTAAGTCTAAGTAAGCATTCCATTAATTTAATAAAATAATTCCGTTCAATCAACATATTCAAAGTAGATAACAGACTGCAGTGCGTAAAATAATAAAACGTACTTGGAAGAGAACAACTTGCCACTAGTCATAGTCCCCCTACAAGTGATGAGACGAGTTTCTTAACCTTGCTGGCTTTTACGAGCTCAGCTTACACAATCAATATTTGTTAATTCAAGAATTAGATTACCATATGATTTGGATAGCTCAATATCAGTATACAAATTTAATACTAATATTGTATTTGTATAATAAATCTATAGTAACTTTCTATAAAATTTATAAATCTAACACTAATAGGCTTATAATATAAACGATAACAATGAACCATTTATTTTAATAAATAAAGATAATCATTTATAATAAATGTATTTAATTATAATCAAATTTAAGAAATAAAATAAAATTTTGTATACATTGTTTTATAATGTTAAATTGTATACAATATTAAAATAAATGATACATTGTTATGGTTTATATTATAAGCCTATTAGTATTAGATTTATAAATTTTATAGAAAGTTACTATAGATTTATTAATTGAATTTTTATTATATACTTTTTTTCCCAAACTTAACGCCTAACGAAATAAGGGCTATATGGGCTTTTTTGACAAATTTTGTATGTATATATATATATATATATATATATATATATAAACATATATATATATATAAACATATATATTAAAGTTGTTTTTTTTAATAATATTTATTGCATAGGTTTTATTAGAAAAATCAGGGTTCTTATTGTTATTTTCATAAATAATAGTATAAATAGTATAAATATTATTTGTTTTACATAAATTTAACTTTATTGACTCGATAAAATATAGATGACACTAATAATTAAAGTCTGGAATCTGACACAAGAGAAGAAATTGTTAATTCTTATCAAGGATTTTGATAGTTCCGATGATATTGAAAACAAAGGTATAAAACAAAATCTAAAATTTCAATTTTTATTTTAGCATTTATAAATAGAATGTTTTATTTGCAAAATGAACTTTGTGACTGTACAAAAGCTTTTTTCTCATTTCCGATATACTCACGGTTTGGCTTTAAATGGAAGTGAAGTTCGGTGTCCCTTTAATTGCTCTAAAGTTCATAGATGAGTATTTGACTTTATGAAAATCCCGGAAATTTTTTTTCTTTGATAATCCCGGAAAATCCCGGAAAATTGTTTTATTAAAAATTTAACTGACAAACGGAACGTAGATTATTTTAAAACAGAATTTATATTAATTAATTTTTTACAAAAAGGAATTTCTAATATTTGAAAAGTTTGAATGAATTAAAAACCAAAAAAAATGAAGAAAAAAAATTGTTACGAAAATCGATCTTGTGAAAATTTTAATTATAGAAAACATATTTGTTTAAATGCAAAAGTTGTTGTATGTAAAATTTTATGTAAAAATATATTAATTTTTTTTCAAATTAATATCAAAAAACATCCGGAAATTCCTGGAAAAATTAAAGGTGTTTTATGTGAATTTCTGGAATTCCTGGAATTTCCGGAAAAAAATCATCTATGAGAGTTTTTCTTTTTATTGGTGCATTTAAAAAGCATATTGTGAAGTGTCACAGTGAGTCACTAAAAGTTGATCATGTCACAGATATAGTTGATTTTAAAATTGATGACAACAAATTAAACAATACTGAGTCTATGGTTTGTGCTATGGATTTAAGTAATTTTGATGAACTGGTCAGCAAATATAAAAATGTGAATCTTGAAAAATCATTTATGATGTTCCTAACAAGTCTTTTGAGTAAAGCTAACATAACTCAAAAAAATGTGCAAAGGGTTACCGAAAATATGCAGGGACTGTTGGATGATATAAAAAGTTTTTCTTTAGAAGTTGTGGAGCAACTGTGTGAAGACATTGACCTTAATGGTAGCAGCTGCCAAAAATACAGCAATTTTAAAGTTAGAGAGTCTTATTAAATGTT